ACTGCATAGTGAAATCCTATCTCAAAAAGACCCCCCCAAAAAAAACTATAGGAGAGAGAACAAAGATCAAGCTACAGGACAAACTGTCAAATTAAGAGAAAATACTTATAAAGGTAAATATATACATTGTATAAAGATTCTCCTATAACTCATTAAGAAAGATGAACAAGATATATGAATAAGGAAGTTTTAGGAGAACAAATATAACTAGTCAGCAAAAGTATGCAATGAAATGTTTGAAGTGTGGAAAATAACATGCCAATTACTGTCAGATGACATTACACATTGTGTATGTACTGAAATGCCACACTGTAGTACAGATATGTGCTCATTCACATTTAAAATATATTTTTTAAAAATGCATGCAACCAAGTACAATAGCACATACCTTAGTCTCAGCTATTTAGGGAGTTGAGGCAGAAAGATCACAAGTTCAAGGCCATCCTAGGCAACTTAGCAAGGCTGTGTCCCAAAAAAACATTTTTAAAAGCATGGGGCTGAGAATGTAGGAGCATAACTCCCTGCCTCCATGCTTGTCTAGCACAAGATCAGTCTCCAGGACCACAAATAAAATAAAATGAGAAACACGTGAATTGAAATTAAAAAACAATGTGATATCCTTTGTTTATTTATTATTATGTTTGGGAAAAAAGATAAGAATTTGAGTTTAATAATATTAAGAGCTAGGGCCAGGGACATAGCTCAGCAGTACAGCGTCTGCTGACCTAGTGCAAGGTCATGACTTTGATTCCTGGTACTACAAAGAAAACAATATTAACAGTGGAAGAAATTTGGAGAAGCTATATTCTAAGACAATGCAATCTGCATTATAAATTGGTAGAATCTTTCTTAAAAGCCCAAATCTGTCCCAGAAGCATAGCTCAGTGGTAGATTGCTTGCTAGCAAGCCTGAGGCTCTTGGTTCCATCCACAGGACAAAAAGAAAAAAAGTTCTGCAAAACTAAGGATAAAACATAAGGAATACAAAGCTCCACATTCTAAAGAAGGAGGCAAATTCAGCCTTCAAGACATCCTGGTGTGAGAACAGGTCAGCCAGCAAACTCCCTCTCGGTGGCACACTGATTTGTGGCAATTCTATTCTTGCTCCTACAGGGCCCTCTGTCCTCCTCAAAGCAAGTGAGGAAACTGATCCTTTGTGGAGACTGGAAATACATCTCCTGGGACTTGGGAATTAGACGGTTTAGATGAAGGTGGTAAATTCTCAGGAGAACTCTCCTCAAGTGTTTGGAGATCTGTATGAATAAGGAGACTAGTGTCAGCTTCCAATCTGGAAGACTCAGGAGGACAGAGATAGCTGAGAGCAGCCTGAAATGGCCAGACAAGAAGAGAGACAAGCATATGTCCTTTAGGTGGGCAGAAAATATGACACACCCCGCCATGCAAGTGAATGCTGGCAACAATAGCCAACTCAAAGTGATGTGAGAGGCCCTGCCCAAGACAGTAGCTGGCCTTGGAAAGGAACTATGGAGTGAGAGACTGCCAGAAGTACCATCCAGGCAGGGGGAGGGCAGGGAGGAAGCCATGCAGTCACCACAAGAAATCAGCCAGAGAATATCTGCCTCCATCATCCCTGAAGAATCCAGCAGTACTTCTCAGATTACAGACACATTAATCTTGTGCACTCTGTCCCTTTCTTGTGATTAACTTAAACTTCAAAGTAAGAACAGAGAAAAAGGGACAAGAGTTCTAGGAAGGAGGCAGATGAACAAGAAAGTATGAACTGGGGATACAGCGCAGGGGTAGAGTACTTCCCTAGCATTCAAGAGGTGGTGAGTTCTATCTTCCAGAGGTGGGAGCATGAGGGAGAGAATGAGAGAGAGACACAGACACAGAGAGAATGACATAGAAAGACAAAGACAAATACAGACAGAGGAACAGAGAAAAGAGTGAAAGAATTCCCTCTTCTTTTTTTCTTGATTGCAGGTCGCTTTAAATTAGATATGATGGTTGGGTGTGGTGGTGAACACCTGTAATCCCAGCACTCAGGAGGTGGAGGCAGGAGGATCACTTGGAGTTCAAGGTCAGCCTGGGCTACATAGTGTATTCAAGCCAGCCTAAACTACATAGCAATACCCTGTCTCAAAAACACCCAATAATAATAATAATAATAATTTTTAAGTCTCGTATCCCTGAGGATCTGGTGGCCTAGATACAAGTAACTCCAATGCAAAACTTCATAGATATCTTTGTTTAATCTTGAAAATTCAAACAAATCCTGAACTCTGCTTCATAATGTCTCAATACAAACATGTTATTTTCAAGCTGAACTTACTAGTTAAACTATGCACCACCACCATCACGATCAAGAATAGTAATCATAACCTTGGCACAGAGTTGATAGTCCAAGATACACCAGCCAGCTATGGAGCAGGGTCCTTCACAGTCTCATTATCAAGGCCCCTAGGGAGGACCAGAAGCTCAGTTGTGACCAGTCACAGAGCCTAGTGGCACCCTAGCTGTCAGGAGGCTTGGCAGTGTGAAGGTGAGTAAAATATTGAACACAAAGTCGCTGGCATGCAGACATCTCTCAGTGCTTTTGCTGTAGTTCTAAGCATGGCCCTGGTTGCTGTGGGTTTGCTATTATGTTATGGGAGGCCATGAGTTAGTAGAGAAAATGAGCTCTCTGCAGGCAGACAGAACCTAACAAAATGCCTGAGGCTGAGTCATTTATGAAGAGAAGAGATCTATTTAGTTCCCAGCTCTGGGAACCCCTCAGCATGCTGCCAAAGTCTGTTCATCTTCTGACAAGGGCCACATGATGTTACATGCACGGCAGAAGCAGAAGCAGAAGCCAGAGTGTGCAGGAGAGAAGATTCCACGGTCAGAGAGGAAGTGAGAGAAACCAAGGACGCCAAACTCGCTTTGTAACACTTTCTTCACAGCTGGTTCACTCTCGAGGGAACAGCTTCTGCACGTCCATTCAGGGGCTCCTTTACCTCAAAATACCTCTCAACATCATTATATCAGGGAACAAGCTCCAACCAAAAACAAACCATATTCAGAGCACAGCAGTGCAAAGAGAGGAGATGCTGGCTTTCAGGACACAGGTACTAGATGAACCCACTTGTGTGTTCACATTTCATCTTCCTACATCCCCAGGGAGACTGGCTGCCTCCCACCAAAAAACACCTCAGTTAGGCAGTGTCTGCCTCAAACCTCATCTCTCACCCTCGGCCTTGGGCAATCAGAAGCACCTCCTTCAGCGCATGCAGCTCAAGCTGGGGACACTGCAGAATGAACTTGTGGCAGCCAAGAAAAGGAAGTTTTGTGATACAACTTCTGCTAAAAGGAGCATAAGCAACTCTCAGATGAGCACAGTGGAAAGGCTGCCAGTCCCTGTGAGACACAGCACTCCGGATGGGCGCCTTTGGCTGCAGGAACCCTCACAACAGTTGAGGACACGTCCTCCACCCAGTGTCCTTCCCTCTGTTCTTCACTGGGGCGGGCTTCATCATAACCTGATGGCTCCACATCCTCTCCCACTGGCATCTGCCCTCATAAAGTCTGTTTATGTAGTCTTACCACCTGCTTCTCAGAATTACTCATTTCCTGTGGAAGAGGCTTTGTGCTATTGGACAACTCCTCTCCTCCCCAGACAGCCAGAACCCACATGTAGACAGTTGGATGCCATAGACGTACACTATGCATACAGGAGGTGCTGGGAAGTCCAGCATGGGGAGTAATGAGCTTTTTCTAAAAGATCTAAAAGTTCCAAAAGGCAAAAGAAGCTGAGCACAGCAGCACACACCTGTAATTGAAATGTAGCAACACTCTGTGAAATTGAATGAAGTCAAGGACAAAGGAAGCAGACAGGAGGAATGTTTGTTAAGGAGAAATAGCTCCCAATAATGAGGAGGGGACCCCAAGGGGGTTGCCACAGAGACTTCCTCTAGGAGTTTTTATACCAAAAAGTGCCCAGGGCTCAGAGCACTCTGAGCTAGCCCATTGGACTGAAGCGCATTTTAAATAGAAATGGGCCTATCAGCCATCAAGGCACATAGCAGGCATCTGTCTGCAGTTGTCTCTTTGCCTCTGTCCTAATGGTTTGATTGAAAGAACAAAAAGAAGGAAAAACCATTTTCCAGATAGGAGCAGAAGTTGTCACAGTGGTCATCATCACCCTGCTGTTACCTTGCTTGTCACAGCTCTGGACTTAATTGTCCATCTGATTCTTATTAACTCTGAATCTCAGGTCTTGCATAATCATCCTGACCCTATCTTGGGCCCACTGCCTCTCCATCTATCTGCTGTCTTCTACCTAATTTGCCTGTCTATAATACTAACACTCTACAAGGCTGAGGCAGAAAAGTCAAAAGTTCTAGGTCAGCCTGGGCAAGGTTGTGACCAGGAAGACCCTGTCTCAAAATAAATACAGGGCTGGAGATGTTGCTCAATGCCCTGAGTTTAATCCAGAGAAAGTGAGAGGGAAGAAGGGAGGGAGTGAGGGAAGGAGAGAAGTTCCAGAGTTCTGAAGGATGAGTGTTAAAGAAAACTCCTTCCTACCAGAGTTCCCTGATGTAGTAAACATGAGAAACTCTAGAGTTCTGTAGGGCCAAAGGGTTGATTGACCTCCACAGGGCGGCAGCAGTAGGTGAGCCTGGAAATTCCCGTGCCTTGACTGCACAGCCAGAGACTCAGAGACAACAGGGTTGAAAGTTCTAAGATTGCTCCAACCAACTCTGATCACTTGAAAGCGTGGTTTAAGGTGTATTTGTATTTCATATGCCAGGAATGGGGCATTTATGTTTTTAGAAAGATTAGATAGGTCAAGACCAGAGACTATCTGGATATAGGGGAACGTGCCTGTAATCCCAGCACTCAAACGGCTGAGGCAGGAGAATTGCCACAAGTTTGAGGCCAGCTTGGGCCACAGAGCAAAGACCTTGTCTCAAAAAACAAACAAACAAAAAAGCATAATTAGTAGGCTACTGCCTACCAATAGGTTATCTGTCTCTTTACATAGATGAAATGAGGAAGGAGTCAGATTGTAATAGTTTTTATTAATGGAGATAAATTTTACAACCAAATAATCCTTTTCCTTTATTGTTTATCTTCTAGCTAAACAGCTTATGAAATTAATCCTCCCTTACCAAAACCCTGTCTGTAGAAATGAAGAGGGCTGCTGTGGCCTGCCCTCCTCATCTTGCTGTACTCTCTGAGTGACCTCCAACTCAAACAGAGTCAGCGTCCCTTCATGGATTTTGAAGGTGCCCACTACCCCACCTGCTAAGGAGAAAGCCCAAACCATGAACTTCTGAGAGCAGCACAGCTCCTTGCAAAGAGTGCTTTGGTACAGAGTATTCCATAAATTATAACTTTAAAAACATTTTACTCATATTACATATCTAGTATATCTCTGTATTGAAATGTCTGCTTTCTTCAATAACCTATAGTTCTAGAAGGACAAGAACTCCATCATTTGTAAAAGGCACTTAGTATATTTTGAGAGGATTATTATAAGAGGAGTTAGAATTATAGAAAATGTACTTCGTAAAATACAATTTTAATTGACTTCATTTTAAAGTAGTGCTATTCAAAAAATTGTGTTTGGAAAAAGAATTACAAGTCATATTCTAAGAAGCAGTCCTTTGATTTTGTCACAAAGGAAACTGAAGGCAATATTCAGAATCTCAAATGTGGAATATTTCATAACATCATGCTTGGAAAAAAAAAGGAAAGGAAATAAATGCAGAAAAGTCTATGGCATTTGCCCAGTAGCTCACTGAGAGAATTCTCCAAAGAGGACATGATATTTATTGAACAATTATGTGTCAGAGTTCTAACAGATGCTCGTTTCATTTGATACTCCCAATGGCCTTAGTGGATTGACATTATGATTATAATTCTGCAGCTAGAGAAACTAAACCTAAATTAAATTTTTAAAAAATATACTTTGTTTTGAGTTCGTGTTTCATGTTATACATTCTATTTTTGACAAATGTAAACTGATATGCATCCCCCATTAAAATGTTATACAAAATAGTTTCACTACCTTGAAAAAAAAAAAAAGAAATTAATCCTCCCTTCTGCCTCTCAAAGCCATGGCTCAGCAGGTCTCCCACTAGGAAACATACTCAGCTTGTCCCTCTTCCTGGCCAGGCTTTTTGGCTTTTCTTACCTACCACAACCTTCCAAAACATTTGCTTTCTCAGCCCCATACCTAATGTCCTCCAAGAAAATCCCTACACCAGACCCAGTTACCAAGAGACTCCCAGGCCCTTTCACACCACGGCGGCAGCAGCAGCTGGAGCAGGCCCAGCCTGGCCATCACATTCCCTCACACAGAATCAGAAACAGGCTTCAGTTCCACCAGCCCGAACCCCCAAAGGCCTCTCTCTTCAGCAAACAGGGACATTCCTTCTGAGTCTCAATGGGTCCTCCAGACACCAAGATGGGCCCTGGGATGAAAGCCAAGAAGGTCAGTGATGAGGGGCCAATTCTGGCAACTCTAGCAGGAGCTTTGCATGCTCCAAGGTAGCAGGCCCGGAGGGCATCAGCCTGGGCTAGTACTCTTGGTGAGCAAGTTGGAGAATTTTCTCCATGTCCAGTATGCTTAGTGAACATTCTCAAAGCCAAGGGAGGAAAGTTGGACTTTGGACACCTACCATGCACCTTCACAGCTTTAAACATTTTTGTGTTTGCTTATTTTGTTGTTTTGTTTTAAATTTATGTTGAATGGATCCACATCTCTGTCTGCAACTTACAGCTGCCTGAACTGACTTGTATGCCAAAAGTGTGACCCTGCTTGTGATGGGCAGCACAAAGACCACCTGGGAACCGGTTAGATGTGACCGAGTTTTTACCTTCCCCAGACCTGATGCCTCAGAAGTCTCTGATTCATGAAGACACTGTCTGTAGTCTCATGAGGTGATTTTATGGGCTGGAGCTGCTTGATGCCAGAGCACTTGCCTGGCCTGCCCAAGCACTGGGTCCATCCCTATCACCGCAAAACAATGAATGAAGCACTGTGGCACGCTAAAGTTTGCCGGCTGCCAAGTGCAAGGCCTTTAGGCCTGGGGGGTCTGGAGCCCCTGACCCAAGCCTTGAGGAGGAAGGTGTATGAGGCCAAAGAAGGACCCCTTCTACAAAGGCTCATCCTCACAACCTCTGACCCTTTTCCCTCCCTACCTCGACATCAACTTCCTTCTGGCACTCTTGGGCCTCCTGGTGGCCACGTTCAGGGTTCTCACTGTCCTGAATGGCTGTTCACAGGTCACCTAACACCTCACCCAGGGTCTCCCATTCATGCCACCCCCTCCGGCAACCCAGTCCGCTTCGGCTGTTCCGCCGGGCGCCGCCCTCCTCCTCGCCCCGCCCCGCCTCGCCCCGTCCCGTCCCGTCCCGCCCCGTCCCGTCCCGTCCCGTCCCGCCCCGTCCCACCCCGTCCCGCTGCTCCCCGCGACTCAAGCCTCCCCCTCCTCAGGGCACGCGAGCTGCAGCGGCTGTGCGTTCTTGCCCTTGTCGTGCCAGCACACGTCGAAGAAGGGGTACACGGGCCCAGGAAGGCGCTCGTGAAAGGCGAAGAGCAGGGTCAGCGCGTCGGTGTCGCTGGCGTCGTAGAAGGCGAGCACGCCGTCGCCGAAGCTCAGGTAGATGCCCACGCGGGTCGGCAGCCGCTCGGGGGCGCGCAGGGCGCGCGGCTCCTTGGCCTCCACGTGCGCCTCCAGCACCTTCCCGTCGCGCAGCCCCAGCAGCCAGAGGCCCTGCGACGGCGTCGCGTGCAGCCGCCCGCGCCGAGGTGCCTCTGCTGCCATCACGCCGAGGGCCCAGCGCGGCTTGTCGCCCACCTCCACTTCCCAGTAGTGCTCGCCGCCAGACAGCAGCTGCTGCGCCACCACCGCCACAGCCTTGTCAAACTGGCGCGTGTCCTCGCCTGCCGGCGGCGCCTTCTGCTCCATGCACTCCACGCGCCGGCCGCCAGCTGACACCACCAGGCTGGGGTGCGCTGAGCTGGGGTCGAAGGTCAGCTCCTCCAGCGCTGCGGTAGTTGAGAGGGAGCCCTTAGCTATTGTTTGCTCCAGGCACTGTGTTGCTTCCCTGGACTTCCTTCTCTTCTGCTGCCAAATAAGGCTGTAATTCCCTCCCTCCACAGAGAGGGTGGGAAGGACTGAACTGATACCAAGGCATAGGACCTGCCACTTGTGGCCCCAAAGAGGTCCAAGGTCACAGCAGGTCATAGTCATGAGGTCTGGTTCTCAGTCATTCCTTTGCAGGAGGCTGATGGGATTGAACCCGGGGCCTTTGCACTGAGCTACACTTGAACTTGGGCTACTTCTGTCTCTGCCTCAGAGTCTGCAGGGATTACAGGTCTGCACCACCACACCTGGCCTCTGTCACTCTTAACATGGTTTCTGGATCTTAGTTTTCTCTTGAATAAACCCAAGATCTCTCCATTGCCACCACACACACCAACAAGAAGCAGTAAGGGCTGCATCATGCATGCCTATATGTCCAGTAGCACCCAGATGTGCTCTGGCTCCTGGGAGGCAAGGCTGAGGCCTTAAACCACCCAGCCATAGGACACCAGAGCCAGCGTCTGACCCAGACCAGTCCCCAGGATTCCAGGAGATCTTCAGATGCCCAGCCTATCCCAGCCCCACCCCATCCCATGAGCAAGAATCATCATCTCCATATCTAGAGGCAGGGCCTGGCCAAGGATGATAGGGGAAGTCAGTGGTTCAGACCCAAGTCCCAGCCTCTTATCTGCCAACAGCAACATTCTGGAGGTCAGCAGCATCTTCCCATGTGAACCCCCTGCCCCTAGAAGTCTTCTTCCATGTGCAGGTTACAAGGTTGTGCAAGTTAGAAGCAGGGAGGTACAGTGTGGGTGCCATCTTCAGTGATCTCCTCATCACTGAATCGAGGACCTTCTGTGTGGGGCTGGGGTCTCCCACTAAAGCCCTATTTAATACACACTTCCCCCTGTCCACCCCCAATACCTGGCATCAGAGCCCGGAACATCTTCTTCCACACCTGGAATTTGAAGTCATCGGAAATGACTGGCAGCTGGATATCCAGACGTGCAGGGGGTGGTGACTCTGCCAGAACCTTCTGCAGCCTGGTGTCGGGGAGGTCAATGGAGATGACTTTGGGGGGAAGGGCAACAGGAAGTTGCTCCCAGGACAGGAAGGAAAGACAGAGGCTTTGGAGGAAGAACAGTCCCAGGATTTCCCCACATCCCACACACACTGCCCCCGTTAAAACTCTGCTGGAGTTTCAGTTTGGGCATAGGAAAAAGTACTGAAGATAGATGGAGGTGATGGTTGTGCTGTGTAAATATGCTAATGCCGGTGAACATAAAATTGACACTTAATGCTTATAATAAGCCAAGCGTGGTGGCACATGCTTGTAATCTGCACTTAGGAGACTGAGGCAGGAGAGTCACCACGAGTTCAAGACTAACCTGGGCTATATAGTGAATTCAAGGCCAGCCTGAACTACATAGTGTGACTTGCCTTGAAAAACAAAACAAAGAAGATTGTAGAATGTATTTGTAACATAAAATATATTTATTTGTTTTTATTTTTTGAGACAGAGTCAATCTCACTATGTGACTCAGTTTGCCTTGAATTCACTATGTAGTCCAGGCTGGCTTTAAACTGTCAGTGATCTTCCTGCTTCAGACTCCCAAATGCTGGGATTACAGGTATGTGCCACCACATCTGGCTCTACAATTTATTTTAAAAAATAAATAACCTGTCTGCCAAGTACAAGGTCCTGAGTTCAATTCTCAGTACCAAAAAATAAATAAAACCCAATGTGTTGGGTTAAGATCCAAGTCTTCAGCCCTTCCTAGTTTGCCATTCCAGCTTCATCATCTCACCCACTGGACTCTCTGCCCTCGCTCCTCCCTCTTCTGTCCTGTTCCTTCAACTCTGCTCAGTTAATGCCCATCCTTTGCTCCAGAATCAGAGCTCGCTCCTCAGGGGAGCTTCCCTGTCCACCACTGCCTGCCTCACAGTCAGAGCGCATAAGATGCCTGTGTCCCACCCCCCCCCTTCCCTACGCACACGTGCACACACACGCACATGCGCATGCACGCACACACAAAACCAAGCTTCTCCATGGCTAAGGACCAGGCCTGATTTGTTTCTGTGTTCATACAAAGTGCAGGGAAGCACGAAGGCACTCAGTGTGTGAGTGGAAAGTGACTAGCTGGTGTGACTCTTAGAAGACTAGGGCAAGAGGGGCACAGCCAGGTTGATCTCACCTGCTTGTCACCAGGCAGTATTTCTGGAGAAAGAGAAAAAGAAAATGGAGGTGAAGCAAGCCCAAAGTACTCCAGGGACTTCTGAGGATGGGATGGCAACCAGGAGTGTGGGGTCAGGAAGAATCAGAAAAGTCAAATGGAACCCAAGACTCAAGGCATCCCCCCAGCCCTGTCCCTTTATGTGAATTAGAAAACAGTACTCCCTCCCCCAAGGAACTCATGTTTCTCTAAAATGATTGTCCTGATAAGTATATAAACCTATACTGTCTATAGTTCAAGTATGTCCAGTTGGGTACAGTGTCCTTGTGCAGTTTCCAAGGTAAGCATGTTCCTGAGGCTGAGGTTCTGAATATGTGACCCTAGCTCATCCCCATCCCTCTCGGCATCAGAGCCTCCATCTAACAATGGATGAGGCCTCTGGAGCCTGAGCCATTGGCCCAGGGATCACCTGGTACTCACCATGAGGAATTCAGTCTGTGGTTTATCGGCCACCTCATCCAGCACCTTCTCCATCTGCCGAAGCTGCTCCAGATAAGAGTTCAGGCCTGCCAGCTCCCGCCTTATGGCAACACCAGCCTCGCTCCAAACCCGTTCTGCCTCCCGGTTCAGTGAGCCCTCCAGAGCATCCAGGAAGAGCCGCATCTTGCCCAGCTGCTCCCCAACAGCGCCCCGGAACTGCTGTACCGTCTCCTGTAAGGGGAGGCAAACAAAAGCACTTGGTGGGACAACCTCAGCCTGGACCCCCGGTCCCCACCATGCCCCACATCATCCCCTCACCTCTGCCTCCACTAGCTGGTGCTCTAGCACGGCCACGCTCTTCTCCTTGCGTGTACAGGCCTCCTGCAGCTGCAATTTCTGCTGCGGGAGCTGAGTCTGGGAACCAGGGACAAGAAGTGATAGAGGCGCTGACCACCCCACCCTACCCCCGCTGCAAAAACAAACGTGCCTTCTGGAGCTGGGCCTCAAAGCCAGCTCCTCTTCCAGCAGTGTCCCCGGCCCAGGTCCCAAACCCTTTCCATGCCTCCCAGCTCTGACCATCACTGGTCCTGAAGTCTGACTCTCCCCCTCCCACTACATTTGTTAACTCATTCAGTCAGCCCCAAGGATGACCAACACAGGCAGGATTTGGCCTCCCTGACCAGACAGGCAAGTACAGCATTTGTCACACACAGCAGGCTTCCAGGGGCAAGTGAATGTGTGGGAAAAGAAATACAGGCTCCCCAGCTCCTGAGCCTCACCCCTTAGAACATCAGTCTCAGTCAGCTGGACCCCCCAGTCAGCTTCCCTGAACACTCCAGCCTCTGGAGACGGGCAGCTTTCTAAAGGTGTCCTGTATGGACCAACGAAACATATCTGGGGGCTGAATCCAACCCTCAAAGCCTGTTATTTTGTGATTCTCAGAATCCAAACCCAGGAAATCCCCTAATAGTTCTGCAAAGCTGGATTTGCCAGGAGGTGTGTGGTCCTGGAACTGGATTGGTCCCTTCCTGATTCTGCCTTCCAACATGTCTCTGACCTGTCTTCCAAAGCAGTGCTGTTACTCCCCCCAGGGAGACTGGAGGAGCCTGTAAGCAGTGTCTGCCAAGGAGTCCCCACTTAGCAGGTGCCACAAGGTTGGACCATGGTTCCTCCCCAGGACATCCTCCTGGAAAATGTCTCTGCCTACTCTAGATTGGGCATGACCAGAATCCAGAGGTTGGAAGGCCAAACCACAGGGAAGAAGCAAAAAGCCATCTGGCAAGCGTTGAAGACCCTGACTGAGGATGAATTCAAATGATTCAAGCAGATGCTGGGCCTTAAGGCAACCTATCAGACCCTACCTATCAACCCCAACCCTATCAGAACATCCTGTAGGAGATGCCCAGGCCACTTGCCTGGGTGGACATCACGGACAAGATGGTTGTCTTCTGCAGCAAGGACTTTGGTGCAGACCTCACAGGAAACTTGCTGCTGGACATGGGCATCTACTTGGAGGCTGGGCGGTGTGGTCCTCCATTCCCTGGCTGTGCGCAGACTCCAGACCCAGCCCCTCTTCTCGCCCAGACCCCAGGTCCCGCCCCAGGGACCTCCTGCCTTCCTCTTCCTTCTGGCTCCTTGGGAGAGGGGGTGCTTTCAGGCCTCTGCGTGCCCACCCCCAAGCCCCTAGAGTCCTGTAGACTGGATATCCCCGCTTCTGAACTTGCTTGCATTCCAGGGGCTCTGTTCTCGTTCACAGATAAGAGATGAGCAAGGTGGGGTCAGCCCCACAGGGAACGTGGGCTGGGTTGGTTCCCCTGAAGAGGGTTCTGCCGTGGGCTGAGTCTGCTGGGCTGGAGCAGGAAGGGCTGTGAGGCCTGAGGACAAGTGGTCTATGGCTCTAGAAGCCACTGAGGGAGCCCCAGGCCCTCACAGGACAGAGACAGCTTTTACACATGGATGGACCAGGAGCCCCTCGGTGCCTCCAGATCCTGTCTCCTGCCCCTGCGCCTGTCCTTTACTCTTGCGCAGTCCAATCAGCACTTCTTGGCACATCTTTCTGGGCCCTTCTGAAACTTCCACTGTATACCCGCGTCTCCCCTAGTCAGTGCCTGTCTTTCCTGGGCACTGGAGGAGACCGCAAACCCAGGGATACACACAACTATGTGGGCCTTCCACAACTTCCAGCTCCCACCAGAAAAAAAAAGCCTGGCTGTAGCTTCCTGCCACCATGGGCCTGCAGGCCAGGCATGCCCTGCATGTCCCACCTCCCTCTCACAAGGACCCATCTCGGGACCAGCAGCTGGGCAGTCAGCTGGGCACCACTGCATTCCCACCTCCTGGCCACACCTCGAGCCCAACGCCTCTAGTGGTAAGAGGTTGCACTTTTGTAGAAAGTTCACCTCAGCGTCCCTCATCCAACTCCGCCCTCACACCCCAAAGAGCACCGAAGGAACACAGCGTCACCTGCCCTCCGCTCCTCCCCACCCCGAGCCTGGTTCTGCCAGGCTTCCCCTGCCTTGAGCTCCTCAGATCCCCTGCCCTGGCTGCCTCTGGGCCGGGCCCAAGAAGCTCAGAATCCAAATCCTTGGATTCGGGACATTCTATCCAACAATCCCGCCCAACCTGGGCTAGGGCTGTACCTTGAGACGCGCATGGGCCTCGGCGGCGGGCAGCAGGCGATGGCCACGATGGGAGCCAAGAGAGGCGCACACACCGCACACGAGCACGCGGTCCTGCTCACAGTAGATGCTCAGCGGGTCCAGGTGCTCTTCGCAGTGGCCCTGTGGCACCTGCGCCAGGCCCTCCACCAGGCGCGCCAGCTGCTGGTTGGTGCTGAGCACCTGCGGCCTCGTGGGTGCCTGGCAGCTAGGACAGGGTACAGTGCCGTCCGCTGCCGGCTCCCCACCCACGCGGCCCAGGCAGGCCCGGCAGAAACTGTGGCCACACTCGAGAGTCACAGGCGCATCGAACAGCTGCAGGCACAGCGGGCAGGACAGCTCCTGGTACAGGAGGCGGGGCGCAGCAGACATGGTGAGCCTGCAGGAGGAGGAACAGCCATCAGAGAGGCCTCCCTGGTCTGTCCTGCCGCCGGGAGGAGCCCCAACCTATAACACTTCACGTCCCACACTGGAGGGACTCTGGTTTGGCGAAGGGGAAGAGGGACTCAGTCTCCTTCCTCAAGACAGTCTCCTCTGCCCTTCTCAGACCCTATCAAAAATACGCCTCCCCCCAAAATATATATATATCCATCCCCCTATCAGGATCCTCCAGGAACTCTAGCTCCTAAACCCAAGCCTCGGTTCCAAGCACTCTTACCCACTGCGCCTGCTCACTTTAGCCCTGGGCCTCAGGCTCTGACAGGCTAGGCCTCACACCAACCCCAAATTCTCTATAACCTCCAACCCCAGCTATCTTCTCCCTCACCTCTAGAGGATCCACAGCCTTCCCGTCCCTCCAGGCCACTGGACTTACAGCTCTAGAGAGAAGTCTTAGGCCACGGAGACTTCCAAGAGCCTAACCGATAAAATCAAGCTGCAGGACAGGCAGCAGGGGTTCAGCAAGGACAGCAGTGGACACCAGAGAGATAGGCACACCCAGAGCATAACACAGACCCACCAGGGCGGAGCCATGGCCCCAGAGCTATATTTAGCTGCTGTGCCCAGCTCCTCCCACCACTTCTGGAAACTGTTCTAAAAGTGAGCCATGAGCAGTCAGCGGCTAAGCATCTTGTGTTAGGGCCACCTGTCCTGGCCCGTCAACCACTCTCTCACAGGTGCAGCCTCAAGTCAGAGCTCAGAACCAGTGGGGAGACAGAAATGACACATACCAGGAAGAGGCCCCCTTCCTTCCCTATTTCGTCCTCCATCACCTACAGCCCCTCCCCAGTGGTCAGCCCCTCACTTTCCAAGATCACACTGACAGGTCACCCACCTACACAAGGCCTGAAAGGTTTTCTTCCACAGTCAGGGAAGGGCCTAAAACAGCCCTGGTGCCAATGGGCTCCCTGAGTCCTTGGAGAATGAATGACAGACAGTTGAATAAATGAATGAAATGAATCCAGAGCCTGCAGCCAGAACTCGGTTCCACCCTGGGAGCCCCAGGCCTTCCTGTGTGCTTAGCTTTCAAACCCGAGTCTAAATTTCATTCAGCATCTGACCCCATTTATCGCTCTACCCTGTTTCTCAGCCCTATTTCCCCTTTTTCCACAAGAACTTTACACTTGCCCTGACTGCCTGCAAGATGCTTCAAACCCAGGTATTGCATAGCTCCCTCCCTTTGCTGCTCCAGGTCTATATTCAATATCACATTTTCAATGAGGTCTTTTCCAAGGTCCTCCATATTGTTTTGAAAGTGTCTCACTATTTTGCCTTCAGTCCTTCCTGCCTGAGCCTCCCAAGAACTAGAACTATAGATGGCTCATTCTATGGATTTAAATCTCCTTTCATACCAATATCTGCCTTCCCTGTCTTTTCTTTGTAACATCTATCGCATCTGACATGAAATATATCTGTTTGTTGGCCTATTGTCTGTCTTCCCCTACCATACTTTAAGTTTGTTCACTGCTTATCTCCAGCTTAGAATAAAATGTGTATCACAAAATAAGTGCTCAACTAATGATGAATGAACACACAGACTCTTTCTTTCTCATTTGGCATTTGGTTTTCTCTCTGTGTCAGCTTCACCCAGTATTTGCCTAGTTTTGCTCATTCCTCTCAAGATCCCTCTTGCCCCATTTCTGTTTTGTTAGGGGCAGAAGCTATTTGACTGACTGGTTTTCAAGACAGTGTCTCCCTAAATTGTCCCAGCTGGCTTCAAATTTATGGTCTGTCTCAGCCTCTTGGGTGCTGGAATTATAAACTCTTGAGCTTCAGTTTCTGTTTCTGGCTGTTTATCTTCCTTTTGGACTCACTTTGCCTTGCCTTGAGATTTAAACATTATCTCAAAAGTATACATGGGCTATTCTGAATCAAAGCCAGATTTTTATTAAATAACTCATAGTAAACTAAATACTCTATACCCCTTTTGCCCTAGAATTACAATTATCTAGACTGCCCACAGGTAAGCACCAAGAGAAAACTATCTTCTTTGCTGGTAAGTGTCTCCTCTTAACCCAGCACTTTAGTAGGCAAACAAAATATCCCCAGGATCCAGATAGCCCTTTTCATGCCTCAGCTCTATGCAAGTCCTAGCGCTTGTCTCCGAGTTCCAGGATGCACACTTCCCGCATGTTGCAGGCCAAGGGCATAAGCTTCTGCTGCCCTAGCTGCCCACTCTGGGCTCCTTGGTGCTTTGGGGACTGAAACTATGAACCTTGCTCCAAGTTTTGTTATTCTTTTAAATCAGAGCAATTATCTATACAAATGGCTGCAGATCTAATTCTCTTGGCATAATGAAAACATCACAGGAAGCCAGTGTTGTTTTATTACCAGGACATTGAGAAACCTAGGAAAATTTTACTTCCCCTCTCTTTATCTCCGAGTCTATAATTTCTTCTCCGATTTGGTTTTGTTTGTTTATTTGTTTGGTTGGTTGGTTATAGTTGTGGTTTTGTTTATTTGTGGTACTGAAGACTGAACCCAGGACCTTTGCACTGAGCTACATTCCCGGACAGTCCCCCACCTTTTTTTTTTTTTTTTAGGGTCTCACTAAGGCTGGGCTCCAGCTTGCCATGCTTGCCTCACCTCCCAGGGTGCTGGGATTAGAGGTGTGCATCACCCTACCCAGTTTCTTCTCTGACAGTTCTCACAGGTCAGCCTTAGTTTTTGGTTAATAACAGGAAGGGTGTGAGGAGAAGTGTATTTTTGAAGCTAATCTCTGAAGCCACAAGCTACTTCACTTAGTCTCGAAAACCAGTATCAACCATGATGAATGTAATCATTATGCACTACAAATATGTACTAATAAAAATTAAAATTTAAAAAATCTAAAATTTAGGTCTCATCTGGAGTTTCCATCATTGCCCTGCTAGGACTGAAGTGTCTGAGGGAAAGAGCTAGATGGGATTGAAAACTCAGCACTAATAATAAATTAGAGAGACAGAATTTTAGAAAACAAGATGATTTATTTATAAGGAGAAAAAAAATGGAAGACAGAAACAACCTGCTCTAGAGAGAGGTCAGGGTGTCTGGAAAATGATGGATATCCCTGAGCCCTTGACCCTGGTTTCTTTTATGAGATTAGAAACCCTTCCTTCCAGGTGGATGCCTGGGACTTGTCACAATCCGATCGGTTCCCAAGGCTGCCTTTGGATGGGCCTCAGGTCACAGGACCCAAGCCCAGGCACTTTCATCTATGTGCATACTCCTTTTGAGGGGTTTTGTGTAACTTTTCCCTGTCCTTCTGTCCTTGTCCTTGTCCTTCCTGTCCTTACCTCTGGGCTGGATAGGTTGGTTAGGAGGAGCCTTGCAGAAAAGGTAGTTTGGAGTTCGTGATTAAGTAAAGGGACGTGTGCATACATAATGCAATAATATAGTGATCCTTAAGTGAAATATATATATTTTTATGTGTACGAATATATGTATTTTTTATACTAAATCAAAATTGTCTTTTAAGTTAGGGGGCTGCCCTTGTTTCCCTTGTATCTGTGGGGGCATCATCCTGATTTCCATGCTCCCGCTTTCCTCATTTTGCCTATTAACTCTTCCACCAGCTAATCTGTCCACTGGGGAGCATTCATTCCTTCCTTAGTTGTAAATTCTTATTGTTATGTCCAGTGAGTCCAGAGTCTAGGGGTTCCCAGATTCACCCCTCACCCAGCTTGCCATAGAAAAAGGAAGAGGAATCAGAGAAAACCAGTGCAAAGCAAGAGCGTTTTGTTTTAAGTATTTCAGGAAGCACAAAGCCACTCCACGGGAGGAGTGGGGGGCACTCAGAGCAGAGAAACCACTGTGTCTGGGGCAGAGGTCCCATCTCCACACCCCGCCCGGGTCAACAATTGATTAATTAGATAATGGGCTTGTGCCCAGGGGCTTGGTTTTGTGGGTTAATGGGAAATTGGGTAGGCATGGCAACCGGACTAAGGACGCCGTTGTCTGCACAGAGGTAGGTGTCAAAGCCACAACCTTCAGCTTCAAACCACAAAGCTGCTTGAAAACTGCATGCCGCTCCGAGTCCAGAAAAGGAATGATGCCCCAGGAAGTTAGGAGGCAGTGAACGGCTCCATTTTACACCAGGGGTGCCGGCTGGAATAACTTCTAGCAAAAACCAGGCACTGAGGGTGTGTGAGTGGCATTTTTATATGAGGCATAAGCAGGGTTACAAGGCAGGACAGGACAGCCTGGCAGTACTTCTCATTTCCTCACAGGGTGAGATCATCCGGTACAGGGCTAGGTTAATGACCATCAGTTATAGGGGGCTGGGGATTTAGCTCAGCGGCATAAGCGCCTGCCTTGCAAGCAGGCAGTCGTGAGTTCAATCCCCCATACCGATGAAAAGGAAAAAGACAAAAAAAAAAAAAAAAATGACCATCAGTTACAAGACTAGATTAATGACCACAAAGCTGGGTACAATCAAGTATCGTGTATGTTCAGTTACACTCTCTCATGAGTACAGGGGTCAAGAAAGTTATTACAAAGTCATGAAGCAGTTACAGAGCTAGACACTTTCAAAAAAAAGTTTTTTGTTTTTTTTCTAAGAACAAAGTTTTTAAAAGAACAATTTTTCCTAGTACAGTTTTCCTTTTCATTCATAGCCACACAGAGCCTGCATTTTACCCTCCAAAAAGGGCTTAGGCATGTCCTTACATTTATGCTATACTGTGCTTTCTGGTTTGTTTTTTGGTTGTTTGTTTGTTTGTTTTGTTTTGTTTCTCTTTCTTTACCTTTGCCCTTTTATGTGGCCCTAAAGGAATTTCTCTAGTAAAGTTTTAATTCTATTAGTCAGGATTAGCCATTGAATCTAACTGCAGAGGCATAAACAACTTTTAGTAAAATTTTTTGCCCATTCTTAAATAAACCCTAGTGAAACCTTTATTCTAGTCTTTCCCTGCTCAGACCACTATACCTACAAAGGTTCTGGTCATTTGGCCCTTTCAGCCATAGGAATGGGTATCCAGGACAGGGATGTGACAGTCAATTCAGTACCTCTCTGTAGATGGGCCAGATATGGCCTCTTGCCCATTAAAGGGATGTCAGTGGCCTTAAGGAGACTGCAGGACAACAAAGAGTGAGAAGCTATATCTAGGAAAAGAAAAGATAAAGAAGTAGTGTTACTGACCTTAAAAATCAAGCTCTACAAGTTCCCTGAAGCCAGGGGAGCTCAAAGGGGACAAACTTCACTTTGTCCTAAGGGAGACTTCCCAACAATATAGCAAAAAAGTGTCATAAAAGCTCCTTATTATCAGACATATGCAGAGGGAGGACAGGAAACCCTCTGTTAGCACTGCTACAAAAACAGGACTCCAAGGAGACATCGTGAGCCCCTGCTCAGGGTCCCCTGGGAAAATCACCCCCCTTCTGGGATTCATCATTCTCACCTACAACACAAGCATGAGTAGAGTAACATCATTTTGTTTTGTACCAGGAATCGAACTCAAGACCTTGAACTTGCCAAGCAGGTGCTGTGCTACTGAGCTATATCCCTAGCCCTACTAACATCATTCTTGTAGGGTTATAATGTGAATTAAACTAGATAATAT